TCGCTCAATCTCTCTCTGCTCATGATCATCTAGTTCCACACTAAAGCACCATCCTATGATCAAATATATATTAGACTCATTGTATTCTTTTTAGCTATGCACATCATACATATATCATAAAATGATAATCATTGCGTCTCTACTTTAATCTTTTCTATTAATCCACCCCTAGTGTCCTGACCTGCAAGTCGACGTTCTAATACTATACTGTGCACATACGAGTACTACCTTTATTAGACACTAGCTCTCATAATTCCCTAGTAGTAGTACTGCACTAACATCCCACTCTTAATCACTTGTAATACTACTATAGAGAGATGAGATGCGTGGTTGTGCTCCATCCACGGTTGTCACTTCTCTTCTCTAACTATTTTCCTTCTCATTTATCTCTTCCCCCTTTCTAAAAACTCCGTATTTCTAACTTCTAAAACAATACTAAAAACAAATATATAAATCTCTCTATATATAGAGAGAGAGAGAGAGAGAGAGAGAGAGAGAGAGAGAGAGAGAGAGAGAGAGAGAGTTTGTGTGGTTGACTTGGGTCATGATCTTGGTTTTTGGAGTGACTCATCTTTATACAATACATGTGGTGGATTCTATTTGGTGAAACCCAAGGTAAAATATTCTGTAAATAAAGTGATGCTGAAAATAATGCCAAAAGAAAGATTCAATATAGTATTTAATTTTTCTTCTCTATTAGTCAAAAGTTTAGTTAGTACTTTGGTACTATATTATACTATAGGTGTTTGGTCGTCTGCGTTATACATGGATATATATATACATAAATTAAAACTGTTTAGTGCAAATCTACTATATCCCTTTTGCCAATTGTTTTAGTCTTTTAGATGCTTTGAAATTCACTATATGATATCGGAATTATCGTGATAACTGATAATTATGGAAATTTTCGATCCACGATGATTAATGTTTTTGATGATTTTATTGCAGTCGTCTAGTAGTTTACGTCCAATAAGAGACAGAATAAAAACACGTTAACCTTACAAAATTCGTTTATTCTTATAAGATATAGTAAAATAAAAACCCTTTATGCGTAAAAGAAATTATTACGTCTAATTAAGTAATATTAGGAAATTTATGCATGTATTCGAAAATACAATACGAGAAATGTTTGTTGAAAATAACAGAGTCAGGGATTCATTCCATGGACATTTCTAATATGAGAACTTCGTCTATTGTTTCTTAGTTTTTTTGGGAGGTATTTTCTTGGATTTATCTGATCAATTAAAAATATCGTATGGGGTGCCGGCACATATCAGTATTTGGTTGGTTCTTCTTGCATGTTAATACAAAATAGTTAATACCACATGTCAGGGTTTTATCTCGTCGTGTAGAAATAGAACGTATCATCAGCATACTCTTAACAACAACAACAAAAACGAAACTCTTGTCTCTGCTCACATTAATGTAGATGATAATTTCTTTTTGTATTAAATCGATCTTTAATAATACTAAATGACAAACAGAATGTGTACTTAAGAATACGTAGTTGGAAGAAAATGGAATATACTAGTTGGATAATGAAGATTCCAGTTTCTTTGATAAAAATGCGCATTTCACCCGCATCTATAAAACCATAATACATTATTATACTATACCATTATTATTTATTAAGACCTCTGATAAATCAATCTCGTGTAGCTCCGCTTCTTCTTTGATTCGGGCTCACGTTGAAGGGACTTCCGCCTCGCTTTCTCGTCTCTCGTCATTGTATCTCTTTTTCTTATTACTCTTGCTTATTGCCATATTTTGCTTAAGGGAGTCTCTTTATCGAGTTCACTTCATAACCTTGCCATAAACTCCACCGTTTATAGTTTTAGTGATGATTTGAAGCTCGAATGTTTATGTTTCCATGTTTTTTTACCTTATTTTTGGCATGGAACCATATATTTAGGATTCACATCTTAAACTTTTCATTTCTTGAAATGATATTTACATTCTTATTAAAAAAAAAAAATCAGTCGCGGGACATCAAATAATAATACCGATCGTAACACATTTGTTTATTACCATCAATCAAATTAAAAGCACTGTTTTGTCCGAAGAAAGTGAAAAAACAGAACCCAAGTGGGCAGTAAAAAAAAGTATATAATAAAATTGATGGCACGATCAGAAGAGAGAGAGAGAGAGAGGTATATAAAAGCTAAAATGAAGGCAAGAAACTCGTGAAAATAATAATTGATCCATCTCTATCCCACGAAGCCCCCACACACACACACACATCATTATTTACTAAAACGCTACCACTTGTTTGGGTTTGCATGCACATTTATTTCCATAACGACAAAACTTTGTGTTTAATTTCTATAAAATTACTTCTGTTGACACCATTACTCACTCACTCACTCACTATTGCCATATATATATATATATATATATATATATATATATATATAAATGTTTGTGTTTACATATACATGTTTGTGTATTTCATAGAAACCACTAATTAGTTTTATTTTCAAATGCTTTAGCTAGTCTTTTTTTTTTTAAAGACAAAAAAAAACATAACAGTACATAACTAATATTTGCAACAATTAAACTAAACGAAATTTGTATTTCGAATCTTGTTTTTAAACGAAATAAACACGACAAAGAGAGGAAGGGGGGGAAATAAATAAAAAGAAAGTTACGACTTACGAGAGTTAATTTAATTTATGAGAGTAAATACAAACGAAGATAACATAGTGAAATTCAAAATTTAAAGCCTCAATGATTTTGTTACGTCGACGCAGAGACAGAGACCATGAGACATCGAGCATTAATTAGTGAGACGACACAACTGACATTAACACTTTCCACTACTATGCACGTCTTCAGATTAATACTAGTAAATTATACATGTAACACATACATCGTTGATCTCAATCATGTATCTATATATAATCGCCTACTAGATTAAGAAATTACACACACACTCGTGCAAGTACAATCCAACCATTTTAAAAAAAAAATACAATATAGTAACCAATTTATTCACATTGGATGATAATAATATTATTACCAAAAAAAAATGTGGAGATTTGATAAAACTGTGTGTAGCTCATTTACTATTATAGTAGCGAGCGCATTAGGGCTTTTTAATACAAGACAGAGACCTGAGAGAGATATTGACTTCACGGGCCCAATAAGATTTTCTCAGAAAGCCCATTAATAAACATGCCACGCACGCAAGTTGTCCGACGTGTAATGTGTTGCCACGTGGGTGATAAAAAGTGGTAAAATACAAAACTCTTCTTCTACCCAACGGATCTGAGTGGATCCTGAAACAATTTTCAAAATTGATTTGAACCAATGGTTCTTGGATCCATGAATATTTAGCGTTAGCCCCTTTTTACAGTACAGCTTCACGTGGGTTTTTTTTTTTTTTTTTTTTCAATGCCACGAAAGTCTCTGTATAATAGTAATAATTGGTGCTTACAGAATTGAGATATTTTTGTTTTAGTAAAAATGGCGATTAGGTTGAATCACACTGTCATTCCAGTGAGCTTGAAGCTCGGAGCTCCGGCGAAAGTATCTGCTCGGAGCTCTTTACCGTTTAGCGTTGGAGACTGGCGTGGTGTTTCTACATTTTCTGGTGCTAGGTCGTTGGTTTCTGCCAAGGTGAAACAGAGAGAAGAGAGTACGGAGGAGGAGGAGGATCAGCCAGTTCCAGTTGAAGATGATTCCGTTGATGACGAAGATTCTACTGACCAGCTCGTAAGTGCGTTTTGATAGATTTCTCTTAGCTCACTCATCCTTACCACAATCCCCTGTGGATCTCTTTTGATGGATTACTCTTAATTTGAAAGGTTGATGAAGAAATTGTGCATGTCGAAGAGCGTGATTTTACCGGCACAGCTTATGTTCCTGTATATGTTATGCTACCAGTGAGTCTTCTTCTTTCTTTTTGTTTTGTTTTGTTTCGATGAGTGTTTGGTTGATTTCGCTGTTGAATGATATAGCTGGGAGTCATTGATATGAACTCAGAAGTGGTGGAACCGGAAGAGCTTCTGGATCACTTAAGAACCTTGAAGTCGGTTAACGTTGATGGTGTTATGCTTGACTGCTGGTGGGGAATTGTGGAGGCTCATACACCACAGGTTTACAATTGGAGTGGTTACAAGAAACTCTTTCAGATGATACGTGACCTTGGACTTAAGATTCAGGTATGTATATTCATATCATTAGGCATCACTCGAAACAGTTTCCTCACACCTGAAGTTTGTGTCCCTGGATCTCCCTCCTTGTTTATGGTGGATGTGGTGCACAAGCATCCATTCATCATTTTGCCCTCTAAACTGGTCGCATATAATGAAACATTGTCCAATCTTTGTTGTTGTGCTCTGACTAATAATATAGCTGAGTTGCTTGCTGAGATCGGTTTAGTGGAATGATATGCACACTTGAGATGAACCTTTTCCATGTTCTTGACTTAAATTGACTTCAGGTTGTTATGTCGTTCCACGAATGTGGAGGCAATGTTGGAGATGATGTGCACATACAACTTCCTGAGTGGGTTAGAGAAATTGGCGAAAGCAATCCTGACATATACTTCACTGACAGAGAAGGCAGGCGTAACACCGAATGCCTTACATGGGGAATCGATAAGCAACGGGTTTTAAGAGGACGGACTGCTTTGGAGGTGTGGCTTTATTCTATGCCAACAATATTCTATATCAAAGTTATCATGAT